CGGATTTGGGAGTTCTTGATATGTATAAACTCGTGGCGAGATATGGAATCCGATGATGTTAAATTTTCTGATTTTCGAGAAGTGGTCCCGGGGCTCGGGTTTTGCAAATTTTGGTGAATTTCGATATTTTTCGAGTCTTTTCATTTGGGTTATGTTCCCTTAGCCTATTGTGATGTATTCGTTGTGGTTTTGACCAGATTCGATGCGCGAGGAGGCCGATTTAAGAGGCAAGGGCATACCGAGCTAGGATTTTGGCCGGCTCGAGGTGAGTAATGATATTAAATGATATCCTGAGGGTTTGAAACCCCGGATTCGCACAACGCAGTGCTGTATTGAGGTGAAACACGCGCTTAATGGCGAGCGCGGGGTTGTTTACTACTGGGGATTGTGACTTGGTCCGTCTCGATTAATATTTGTACCGCATATTTGACTGAAATGTATTTGTTACCAACATGATTTGGGCCTATTGCCATATTTTGGGCTTCGTGCCGACTACTTGAATCCTTCGTGAATTTTTATCACTGTTTCCTCACTATTTTGATATACCACTTGAACTCAGTCCTGTTGATTATACTGTTTTACAAACTCAGCTGCTTTGATTGAACTTAGGGGCTTAAATGATATTTCCACTGTTGTTTGGGCTGAGCACTGCTATTTTATTGATGCCTGAGGGACTTATGATATTTTTCTGGACTGAGTAAGGCCGAGGGCCATATGTGAGGAGGCTTTCAGGCCTCGAGTGTGATGTGAGGAGGCTTTCAGGCCTCGAGTGTGATGTGAGGAGGCTTTCAGGCCTTATGTGTGATGTGAGAAGGCTTACAGGCCTTTTATTGATATAGCGCTTGGGCCGTAAGGGGCCCCTCCGGAGTCTGCACACCCACAGTGAGCGCGGGTACCCATATGATCTGAGAGTGAGCCCGAGGGGCTGATGTTATGCTGAGTGATTGATACTGAGCACGAGGGGCTGATACTGTTCTGAGCGCTTGATACTAGGCCCGAGGGGCAAATTTCTACTCACTAATTACTTGTTGTTTTATCTGATTTACCTGTTTTTAAAAGGAGATTTCATTTGATTTTTACTGTTTTACTTCTTTAAATGATTTACTGCCTGATATTGAATTTCCTTGTGCACTTGTGTGTTTTCATGCCTTCGGTTATTATTTATTATTATTACTCACTGGGTCGGAGTACTCACATTACTCCCTGCACCATGTGTGCAGATACAGGCATAGCAGAGTCTGCACCTGAGCGCTGATTCTTTCCAGACCCGGCAGCGAGTTGGAGTGACGAGGTAGCTGTTGACGTCCGCAGCCCCTTGTCTTCCCTATTTTATGTCTTTTGAGTTCCTTCAGACTATTGTATCAAACATTTTATTTTGTAGACTCATTACAAACTCTGTAGTAGCTCATGACTTGTGACACCCCGGTTTGGGCTGTGTCGGGATGGTTTCCCTCGTTATTATCACTATTTCGCACTATTTGCTATATTACGCATGTGTTAGAATTTTAAATGGCAATTACTTGCTTTAAAAGAGGTGTTTGCGTTGTTGTGGTTGGCCTTGTCTTCACGAGAGGCGCCATCACGGCCGGGTTTGGGAATTGGCCCGTGACAATATACATACTATATATATATAATTTACAAGAAAATGCCTTAGATAAAAAAAATTCAAAAAAAAAAGCCCGGACCACTTAGGCCCGTGGCCCGACCCATTTAGCCCGGGACCATGTAGGCTTAGGCTCATAGCGGGCTGGTTCCATCCATTAGGACTGTTTGGCCCGGGACCGCCAGAGCCCAGCCCGCGTAAGCTCGGGCCCGTAGGCCCGGGCCCGGCCCAGAATACAGCACTACCGTGAAGGAGAGTATAACCGAGAGAACAATGTCAAGAGAAGTGTGTAATAATCATAAATTTTGATATAATTTTACTACAGGAAAGTATAATTGAGAGAAAGATGTCGAGAGAAGTGTGTAACACTCATAAATTTAAATGCAAATTAACTAATATAAAATAAGCTTGAATAAAATTCAGAGGGAATTATTATAATATTTTACCACTTTATATTGCCTTAATAAATTAGACTAGCTAGATACGCGAATTCATTCAAATGACAATAAAGTCAATTTTTTTTTTAGAAACTACATTAGCTCGCATATTTCACGTGTAAACCCTAAAATTAAATTATAATATATGAGGATATAAACAATATATAATATCATCGGATGGTTATGTACACCCTAACGAATTTATGAAAAATTGAGTGATTCTATATATTATTGTTAGCAGGGGCGAATCCAGCTTTGAGGTTATGGGTTTTCTTGAATCCAGTAACTTTTGCTCAAATCTCGTATTTGTATTAAGAAATTCACCAAAATATCTATAAATATTTAACTAAGAACCTAGTTATTATTGTATATATTACTCGAAACCGTTGTATAGGTGATAAACGGCCAAAAATGCATATTTTTCGGTGTACTTTCATCACATAACTTGAGTGATTACGAGATCACGTCCAACTATGCCTTATGAAAAGGACTAAGCGGTCGTTGCAAATATAATCCGGTTTACAAGTCCGGAGTCAAATCCCACAGAGAACTAAGGCTTAGCTGCAGTTGTTGCCTATTACTAAGAAGACTAGCTCGAACAATTCCTAAGTTATAAATATTAAGATTCTTGTATCTAATTAAATAACAAATTAAATTATTAGATTAACAACTAGGGATACTAAGGGTTGGAGACAAGATTAAGGAGGTCTAGAGTTATGATTTCCCCTATTGTTGGAATCCTTCCCGCTACGTTATCTATAAATTCGCCTAAGTATTCTCTACCGATCATGAGCGCTCTGACTGTCGTAACTCTCTCCCGAGTAATTACCACAATTTACTAGACATATTCTCCCGAATTACGCTAGCTGGCATTAATCGCACCCAAGGTTTCGTTATCCCTAATCCCACATTTAAACCCTCCGTATTGATCCCTCATATACGTTAGGAGTGATGTTGTTCAACAACTACCTAAATATGCACTCTCTCCCGAGTAATACACACTAAATAGGCACAGTCGATTGAGAACTCTTCAACCAACCACAATAATAACGTAGTTGAACAAATAGAGAAAATACTACAGCAAATCTATATTAACATAACAAGAAAATCATTCTCCAATAGGTTCCATCAAAACCCTCGATAATAATTAGCTATTCATAATAGTATGCATAAAAACAATACTAAAATTCATAACCAATAATGAAAATAGGAAGAAGGAAGTGAAAAACTCGTAGAAGAATTCTCCGCCTTGCTCCTAGTGTGTTCTTGCCTCCTTAGGTCGAATCTCTCATCTCCTTAGCCTCCTTAGGTCTAAATTATGTCAAAAGTCCTCAAAATACCATCTTCCATGTATATATACCAAGTAGGGTCGGGCCCAAACAATTATACCTTCTCCTACGCGAAAAAGGACACTTTTCCCAGACATGACGTGTGCGGCCACGGATCATTACGGTAGGTCACATGAGTTTTTATAGTGAATTATGCTCATTACGTGCATTCTTATGTGTAGGAGCAAGTTGGACGAAATGTGAGCAAAAGAAGTTGATTCGGGACCAAAAGACAAAAGAAGGACTTTGCTCGTTCACTCTCGCGTGCACACAACAGAGTGAACGAGCTACTGAGGACAAGCTTGAAACAAAACAACAGCGTATAGCAAAAAGCATGGAAGTTCACGAGAGACCTAGAAGAAAAATAAAAAGAGAAGAACTTTCCTCGTTCACTCTCGCGTGCGCACGAGAGAGTGAACAAGCTAACCTAAAAAGGTTGTTTCGAACTGGGCTTGTATTATTTCACCTCATGCTAACCCTATCCCATATAAATAGTCTTTAAACTCACTTTTGTGGAGGAGAGGACGTTTTTGGGAGTGACTTTTGATAGACTTTAGACCTAGGGAGAGCACGGAGCCGCCGTGGAGGCCAGAATTCATCAGATTCCATCTTCCTTCCATTGAACTTACTAATCTTTATGTTTCTTTGGATGAACTGTTGTTTTGCTACCATGTCTATGTGGAGCTAAACTTCGCGTTCTAAGGTTGTGGTTGTCATGATTATTGAAATGTATTAATTATTACCATTAATTCGAGTTATCATCTTTGGTTGTTTCTCCAATTCTGTGCATAACTGCTTAATTGTTTGGCCAGCAGTTGAGCTCTATTTATTATCTATGCTATGCTTGGGAAGCCGTGTTTAGATTAGAGTAGAATTAGAGAAAGCTTGTTTCTGAACCCATGGTTCGGGAAAAGATTTCGCGGTTAGGATAAGAATATACCTAACAGTCTTGCTTAGTTTAATACTGTATTATATTCGTTCATGATAGATTCAAGAACATATAAATATAGGATTGATATATTATGGATAGACAGATAGTATTGTGGGAACATGCTATTTACATGAACGATCCGGTCAACTAGCAATCATAAATAATTCGGATTAACAGATGTACTTACGAACTCAATAGGATTGATAAACCGACCACAACCCTAGAATCTATATCTCCCTTGGTTACGTGTTTAAATATCGCCATAGTTGTTGTAATAGAAAAATCAAACTTTTGATTATCTTGGACATTAAATTAATTTTAGTTTGCTTAGTTAACGGTTAATCTAAGTCTCTATGGGTTCGACGTCCGACTTTCAAGTCACTTTATTACTTGACGGTCAAGTATACTTGCGTGTACTTGGGGAACCAACAGTAGAAACCCATAAACTTCAAATCCTGGATCCACCTCTGATTATTAGTTATGGATTTTGTATTGAATATCTTACTTCACTCATTTTCCTTGTCACATCAATCAAAGCAAAATATTAGTTGTCTTTTTGAACTTGTTTGATTCAGACCTACGAGTCAGTAATCTCATTCTTTCTGAAACAAAATAATATTAACACCTCAAATGCTTTTGGTTTCCCACATAAACTAGACCAACAATTGAATACTAAATTTTTTCTCCCTAGCTCAGTGAAGTTTGGATAATCTAATTATATTCTACAACTTCTATTCACAAAAATGAGCAACACTAGCAATTCAGAATTACATAGCCTCCAATAAGTGGTAGAAACAAAATTATATAAACTGAAACCTGTTGTACTAAAAAGGCTTTGACATAAAAACCTCATAAATAAGTGCTATTACTCTCACAAACACCTATACTCTTTCTAAAGCATATTTTAGTCAACCAAGTCAGTTGGGAACTTCAGTGGTGAATTTACTTCAATTCATCTGCCAAAAACTTAGTGTAGTTCAGTTCCCAATTCTAGTCATTCATGTTTGGTTTGCTAATCAGCTTTACACTGGCTTTCTGCTACAACATAAAAGAACTTCATATTCTCAGACTTCATCAGTCTTTCACTGCTTGATTTCACCTGCACTACTTTATTTGAATATCGCGGTTAGCATAAATAAAAAATCCTAAAACATGATTAGCGAAAAGGGATGGTAATCGCCCTACCTCTTGCGTTTGCTTTTCTGGGAAGTAGACGTCGATGGATTGCTATGCCAGTTCCTTTTCCTTTGGTTAATAAACCAATTGTTGATCTGCTTTAGCTGCAAACCTGTTTCTTGCACTAATCGCGCTTTATCTTCCTCCTACCATAAATTTTATTCACATAAAGTGAGAGATATAGTAGCAAATAGGTTCTTGAATGTATGGTAGGAACTTTATTTGGTACTCACAGTTGGATAAGGCCACTTAGAATGTGATTGCCACCAAGCTTTCAATACAGATGTAGTGTCACCAGGCAGCTTTCCTGCTCGTCTTTTTCGTAATATTTCTTCTCTAATGTCAACAATCTTTTCCTTATAACCCTTTTAATGAAAATAAAATCAAGAAACTCATTAGCTAGAGGAAAAAGAAAACCTAAAGCATAAGTTGAATTGTATGGCCGCTTCATCTAAAAGTTTAAATTATTAGAGAGGGATACATTTTTATTTACTTAATTATGTTCTCGTTACGAGCCCTCACATCTTTATAACAATGAGTGACAGTGAGACGTGAACCAAGGACCTCTTATATTTTGAAACATACAGAATGGTGTGACCACCAGTGGCGGAGACATGATTTCCGCCAAGGGGTTCAAAAAACGAAAAAGTTTAAAAAATTAAAAGAGATTGTAGCCAATGGGAATTGAACCAATAACCTCACAAAGATTTTGAACCCCTTGGCCACTGAACTATGCTTTTGAGCTATGTTTTAAGATATAATATATAAAGGTACAAAACAGATTTTGCCTTATATATACAATGTAATTTCCCGGACCCGAACCCACTTCCCGCCTCCTAAATCCGTCATTGGTGACCACCTTATCTATAAGTTTAAACTGTTAAGAATATATACTCTTTTTTCCTAAATTATGATTTCAAAATTATCAGACCAGCCAAAAGTTATGTTACTTTACCTGTTTGAGCTCATGCTTGAGTTCTTGCCTAACACGCTCCATTAAGGACCTTTCACTTTCAGTAGGTACAAGAGGACCAAAGCCCATGCTATCTGATCCATCAAAACCTCCATCCAAAAAGTTAGTGTCACTATCTGCCTGGTCATCATCATCATCAGACATGGTTGCTCCTGTACCTTCCCCTGGAGCTACTCCTGTTGGTTGACAGATCATCCGTAACTATATGTCAGCAGTGCAATTCTGGCCTACATGCATATATAACGGCAGAAAAGCTGGAGTAGAGATTCCTTTCTTCTCTTTTCAGCAAAGAGTATAATTCACTTATTTAGTGATCACTAAGAAAATCATGTGAATTAGAGGAATAAGGCTAGCACTCTATCCATTATAACAGATGCACAACTCTTATAATAAGTCAATCATGAGAACCGCATACGGTGGTAGTGGTCTATGTTGTGCGGAGTTGGATCCTCCAGAACTGCACTACTTTTGGAGGATCCGACACACGCCCGACGATATTTTCTGAGAGTCCGAGCAACATAGGTTATGGTGTATGGTATATTGGTATGGCAATGACCGTAATATTAACAATAAAGGTATGAGGATGAAAATACCAATGGGAAGAAAAAGTGAGATAGGATAAATTGAAAAAAAAAACTAAGAAATAGACAGTAGAAAACTATGTCACCTGTTAAACTTTGCAGAGATTGTTCTAGCTCCCAACAAGCCATGACTGCTTCCATTGCATGAACACGAACATGTTGTTGCAGTTGTTCTTTAAATGAAGAGAGCAACAGAACGTAATGTGTCTACATCAGAAGAAACAAAGATTAATCAGACGAGGTAAATATTACATGAAATATGAGATAATATGTCGTATCTCTTAACGTGTGTATAAACTGATTAAAATTCTGATTATAGAATCTGCTATTAAGATTAATAAAAGGAGAAAAACGCAGAAATGTATGCATGAACATGTTTTAAACTGAGACCAGCACCTGTGGTTCACAGTTTCCATAAAATCGACAACATTGAACTAAAATGAAAACTAGAGAGGACTAAACATTCCCCCCATGCTTAAGGATTCCATAATTGCTGGTGTTTATGGATCAATATATACTACATTGAAAAATTGGAAACAAAAAGTAGCATTGAACTGTAGATTTAGCACATCATATACAAACTTATTCTGTTTCCTTTTCAACTTCTTATACTTATAAGACAGTTAAATAGTAAGAGCATCTTTCAAAAATCATAATCATATGCAAATTTGTTTTGTTTTGTTTTTCCTTTTTCCTTAGTCAATCATAAGTTGGCCTTTTTATATTATTGAGCAGCACATGAATTCTTTTAAAAATTTACCTAGGTAAATATTCAGTCCACTGAAAGAAACTATTCTTAGTTATATCAGCTAGTCCACCATTATTTCTGAGATAACAATAAGACAGAAACCTTTGCACATGAAGCCCTAAAAGGGAAGTCCGGTGCACTAAGCTATCGCTATGTGCGGGATTCGAGAAGGGCCGGATCACAAAGGTTTGCCTTACCCTGCGTTTCTGCAAGAGACTGTTTCAACGGCTCGAACCTGTGACCTCCCGGTCATATGCCAAGAACTTTATCAGTTGCACATGAAGCCCTAGAGTTGAAAATCATGTCAAGGAGATTCTCCAAAGCACTCCTCCTAACATTAGGGGTCAATTATTAGCCTACTGCCTGTAGGATAAAAAGATTCCTTTTTTGATGTGACATCTAGATATTTCTATTAAGATCTTAATTGTTAGAACTCTCAGAAATATTCCTCTAGAAATATGCTTAAGATAGAAGCACAGCTGAAATCCCCAAATAAATAGACGGACAGAATCCATATGATGCAGAGAACTTGAACAAGGAACCAGCAATCAAGGAATCAATTTCTTAAAAGGTTTACAAGTTCATGCAACGACCTCAAAAACCAAAATGCTTGTCACAAAGAACAGCAAAACTAGTGTAACAATCCAAGGGGCAGCTCAAACTATATTTTCACATAGACAGAATTCACTCTACTCGTTGTACAGGTTTATATGGAGTTGAAATGACTATTTTTCCATGATAAAAGCAAAAAAGGACTAAACTTAGTACATCGTGACATCAAGATCACTCTGCCACTTGTAATAGTCACATATTTATAATTTAACTATAAAACCACCCATATACCTACAACATAAATCTCAAGCTAAAGCTTCTCCCTATGGCCATAATTCAGACAGGAAGTAACACAATCAACAGATTAATTCATATTGAAAAGTTCAAGTTTGGTAAGTTCAAAAGCAATCTTCAGATAGAAACACATATCTATGAACACTGCCAATCATCAGCATAACAAGAGAAGCCAAAGATTGAGCCTTTTATTCAACTCTTGTACTCACCTACATCAGCTATTCTATGACTGGAATAGCTTTGTTTTTTCCTTATCAAATAAAGCTATTCAAATCACAGAATAGGCAAATACAAATAAAGGTCAAAAAGAAAAAATTTAAACCCCAACAATTGAAATTGTATTTCCTCAAGATCCACCTCACCACAATGACATCAAGGACAATCCATTCATTCTCCATTCCACATAAACATTGGTCGATGGCTTCCAAATTCTATGGCGTAAGCTACAAATCACCAAATACAGCCAAAAATATGCGCAGGCTGAGTTCAGCTTTCAAGCATATGAATATAATAACTCCTTAAACATCTTTTTTGAAATTAAAAAAAAAAAAAAAAAAAAATGAACATTTACAAACTAAATAAAAATACTACTAGAAACTATAGGATTTCAGTTATATACATTGACAGAGTACTGCTCTACTTTCCAGGTTCCATATCAGGCTCGCTAGGAATACTTACCTATTGTTTTAGACCGACAGTGCACAAAACTTAAACCTTCACCAACTACAATATAAAAAGAATATCGTAGCCAAATAAATCAATGTAATCTTCCAAATAATATTGCCGAATAGTTTGTAAATTTGCTACTTAAAATTGAAACTCAACACAAAATTAACAAAAATTCTATGTTTTATAGTAACTCTTTTGGAAATTAAACGTGAAAATTCAAGCACATAGATATGAGTATATAGATGAATTCGTGTACGAAAGCTTAAAATATATGAAGAAATGAAAGAAAAGTTACCATAAATTGATCGAGGTCTTTATCATCTAGAGGCGGTTGACCTTGGCCGAGAACAGAGTACTTAGCCACCACGTTCTGCGACTGAGCTAACTGCGCGTCAATCCGCGGCAGTTGATCCACCGGCGTTGCGATTCTCAGGCAAGACACGTGTGCCGACAGTAACTGATCGTATAAAGGATGATTCAATATATCCGCTTTACACTTCTCTCTCTCCCACGAGTTCTCACCTTCCTCATTATTATTATTACTATTGCTATTATTATTTGTGTTCACATCGTTATGCTCTTCTCCTCCTCCTCCGCCGCCGCCAGCGGATGCAGCGGCGGTAGGAGAAAGCCACTGGTTGTTAGAGTTGGAGGAGTCAGAGTTGGAGGTTTGGAGATGGAGGAAGTTGTTGCCGTTGCCTCCGGCGGCGGCGGAGCTATGTTGACGAAGAAGAGAAGTGTTGAGCCAAGTAGGAGGGGATTTTCGAGGAGATTGATGATCTTCAGGTAACATGGAACGTAAAACGGCGGCGTTTTGTTGTTGTTGATGAAGGGTAGCCATTTCTTGAGAAAAATGGTCCTGAAACGCCATGGCTAATATGGCTACTATAGAGGAGTAGTAGTGTATAGTGTTTGTTTAAAGTTCTGTGTTCATTTTCAACTGGTACAGAGAAAAGAGATGAAAGAAGAAAGAGGGAAGTATGAAAAGTAGGAGAGGAAAAAAACAACAGCGTTTACTATAAACAGTGGTTTTTGTACATATATACTCCACATATTTAAATCTTAAATATAATATAATGTATTATAATCACAATATTCACTAGATAAAGATATTTTTGAGAGTCTAATCAATTTCTCCTACTAAAAGATATTTTGTCCTTTAAAAATGAGATAAAGGAAGATGAACATGTATACGAGTGAAACCGAGGCTAATATATATCCCGATTTTTTGGTGGAATAAACAAAGCAGGGGCATGAATATACGGGATCGAAATCAAAGTCGGGAACTTCTTGTACCAAAGCCCGAACAAAACGTTTGCCAATCAGACTTGATAAAACGAGCACCTCGGACCCGGGATGAGTTCTGAGACTTCGGGAAGCGCATGAGACTTCGGAACCAACCGGATATCACGGCACGGATCTCGCTCGATGGCGGTTACTGATCAGTACATAACGAGAAAGGAGGATTTTTACCTTTTTTAGACTTGTACTAAAGGTGAAACTCTCCTACTATATAAAGAGTAAGCTTTTCTGTGATAAGACACATTGTAACACGCATACCAAGACAATACAATTTCATTTTTCTGCTTTCTAGCTATTGAAAAGTTCTTATTTCATTGTTGTTATTCATATATATTTGGCTTCGAACCAAGGGTCCGATCGAGGGCGAAACTATTGTTCAACCCAAGTCCGACCCTGGCTATAATATCACAATTGGTTTGGGTTATTCATTCTATATTAAACTCATTTATCTAAGAGGATTTGAAGGCTTAGAAGCTAAACGAATTGAAGAAAATAAGTTTCGTCGAAAGTCGACAAATTGGCAATGTTATAAAATGTACTTTTGGGGTGAGACTAGGGCGCTCAAAATGGTAAAGAGGTTATTTTATGAGTTATTTTTGTCTTATGATAGTCGTGTGTTATGTTTTGAACTCAAGTGAGTTGTGGAACAAAGTTGGCAAAGATCATCACAAGTTACATTCATAAATATGTTGAAATTTAGGTCAAATATAGCTGAGCTTTTCTCCCAACATACTTGGAATTAGAGGATGATCTACTTACCAAATTGAATATCTACGAGTTTATTTTCTAACGCATTAAACCGTTCATCGATACGTCATAGGAGTAGAGAGATATTTGCAGTTTCGCGAGACTACACAGACTGCATAGGTGACAAGTAGATGTGTCACTAAAGCTTTTTGAGCAATACATTTCGTGTGTTATATGAGGTCTTTTTGGGACATATTATATGCCAAATTGAAGGTCTTGAAATGTAGTTTCTAACTCTCTTAACCGTTCATTCATTCGACATCCGAATAAAAAGATATAAGCGTCTGAAGAAGAGCCAATAATAGGGTGCCAAGCTAGCACCTCTTTGACTTTTCAAAAATGGATATATATAGGCCTTATGTCTACTCTTTCTTCATTTTCCAAATACCACGACCATAATAACACCCCTAAACTTACCCTCAAGCTCTCAACAAGGGTTTTCAAGAATATTAACATTCCGGGTACGAAATCAAGAAGCGATAACACTAGAACGATCCCTACGACGTAAGTATCGTTATTTCGCCTCTCTTTTTCTTTGTAGTTTGAGTTTTGGAAGGTACTTCATAGTTAAGAAAACGTCTACTTTCTGTATTTAAGCTTTAAATATCAAGGAAGGTTGATAAATTCGTTTCCTAATAGTTAGAACTCACGGAACAGTGATCGAAAGTCATGAGTTCGAGTTATTCGACTTGTAGTGGATTATTTTGTGGGCTGTTTCGTGTTGCTTTTGGGCTGTCTGTTTTGCTGATGTTTTATGGAGTTTTGGAGTATAAAAGGTGAGTAGAAACACTACATAATGGCGGAATGGTGGGCTGGTCATTTGTCGTTACATTTTTAGGTTGTTTGACACTACTTTTATTGTCGTTTTATGTATGAAGTGATTAGGGTGTGTGGGCTGTTTTGTGATGGAGATAAGGTTGGAAAATAATACATACATATTGTTATTGTTTTGTTCTTGGTGTTGTTGGTATATGGTATTGGAGGAGGGCCCTGTTATAGGGGAGATGCTGCCCAAATTTCTTAAACGAGCTACTAGATTAAGTTGCGAACTTAGCCTTTACTCAGCACTGATGTTGAATCTCTTTATGATGTGGTAGATTGACTTGAGTTGTTTGAAGAATTGCTTGGAAGGTATTAAGGACTCAACAGAGTTAAGGTATGTTAAGGCTAAAACTTTCTTTCATTTCGGCATGATCCAGTAGCCGCATGTGTTTGATAACGAGACATAAAGAGAAGTTCATATTCCTGAATTATGTACATTATCCTAGTCTCATAAGTTACAGCATTCTCCCTTATCGAGACTTCATATTCAGTTACAGTATTTTCACCATCACCGAGCTATAATCGATGGGCAGCCCCTATTGGGCAACCTCAGATCAGATGGTGAGTTATATACCGAGCCTACTGTGGCCGAGCACCTATGAGCGAGCCCAGAATGGCCGAGATACAGAGCCTAGTATGGCCGAGCGCCTATGAGCGAGCCTACTGCGGCAGAGCAGTTACACATACCGAGCCTTATAAGGCCAAACAACTATTTTATTTACTATATTGAGAGAGTTGAGTCAGTATCAACAGGTAAGCATATCTTTAGATTATCTTTAACTCCCAGTTACTTTCAGTTATTATATTATCAGTTCAGTTTCAGCTTTCAGTTATTCTGTTGCCTTACATACTCGGTACATTATTTTGTACTAACGTCCCTTTTGCCGGGGACACTGCACTTCATGTTTGCGGGTCCCCATTGACAGTTGGACAGACCCTCCCAGTAGACAGAGTCAAACATCAACTTGGTTGGTAAGCTCCGCTTCCTCGGAGTTACCAGGTCTAGACCTTGGAGTCCATTTTATATATACATATTTGATGGGTAGGTCGAGGCCCTGTCCCGACCATGGTACAATTCAGCTATCTCTAGAGGCTTGTAGACGAGTCCTGTATATTTTGTATATCAGTAGATGTTCATGGCGGCTTCATCGGCCTGCACAGTTATATATATAAGCTTTTGGGTATGTTTACCCCATAGATGAGAGAGGCGTTATTTTCAAACGATTCAGAATATGGCCTCATCGGACTAAGATGAGGGTTACCCCTCCAGAGTTCACAGTTATAGAGCGGTACGCTCGGGCCGAGTATGACACCGGGAGCAGGCCACGCCTCTTCAGGTTTGGGGCGTGACATATACTTTAACTTAGTTCTAATAAATACTCGTCAATCTAGAAAGTCACGTAAAAGTGTTAGTTATTGTATCCCCTTTGATATAATTTAAAAAGAATTCGGAAAATTAATTAAATTGGCTATTAGATACATCCTTTGAAACATGTAAATGATATGCTTACTCTCTATAAAGGGCGATTTGCACAATTAAGATTATTTAGCGTTACCATTTGAACTTTTATCAGAAAAATTTTGAAAAAAATAATCCTACGACAGAGTTACTTTAACACAATTCAAAAGTTCACATGTATTTATTATTTTTTATTTATATTTTGAAGTGAAATGTCTTGATTCTGCCACTTAGGCTTATGTACCGTTTGACACAGTATGAAATAGGAGTATCAACTACCCCCATTTGTTGGAAGTATATTTTTGAATTAATAAATCATTATACTAAAACTATCATACTCTCAAAAATTAGGCCCCAATATGGAGTCATAGGTATTTTAATTGTCAATATGTACTGTATATGTTTTTCCTTTTTCTTGTACAATTTGAGACTGTCATATGCATCTTAATTGAAGATTGCACCGATTCATATGTCAAACTTATTCCCGAGCTATCTTGTCCCTACTCCATCATTATCTTAATTGGTCCCCATTTACTTTGCATTTGGAATATTAAATTTCTTTTCTCCTATTCATTTATGAAAATAATTTTTAAAAAAGGAGCAACTATGTAAAAATCTCTCTATTTATAAGTACAGAATAAAATTATATTTCAATTACGGAGCTTTGATTTTTATTATCATAAAGCATGAGGTATTTACAATATTTACATTTGTCTAACCAAATAATAACAGGGAACTACATTCTAATTATGTTATGTGAAATAAACAGATCACTTTTTATGACACAGTTAATATTTAGATAGTCAAATAAAAAATTGTTTTGACCAGGTTAAGAATAAATACTTTGACTTGCTAATTGTTGTGAGTTATAAAAAATTATTTACATAATCCGTAGATATATTATTTTTTATTTAAAAAAAATTAAAATTCTATATCACAATAAAATTAGTCAGCTTGACCCTCTATTATTAATCATATCACCTTAAATGGAACGAAAAGAGTAATTTCATATAGTCGCCATCAAGAACTTTAGTTGGTTGAATACTATCCTTCCGCAACTAATTAGAGGTCTCAAATTCAAAATTTGAAAATGAATAAAACTCTACTAGAAAATACAAATACAAATTTATCGAGACTCCAAAATAAATACGTACAAAAAATCAGGTGAAAAAAAATTTAATTTTAATTCATGACCCTATCTCTTTTTTTACACATAGAAAATTTACTTTTACATATAATAATAATAATAACAACAACAAAAATAAACCCAGCGAAATCTCACAAGTGATGTTTGGGGAAGATATGTGTATGCAGACCATACATCTATCTTATGGGGGTGGAAAGTGTATTTCCGATAGACCCTCGACTCAAGAAAAGTGAAAAGAAGCAATAACCAATTAATAGCAACAACAAGACAAAAGGCAACGGAAGCAAATGGCAAAACTTGTAATAACACGAACAAGGATTACAAGAATACAAGACTAGTGTTAACTACTGATAATAGTGACGATACACCGTATAGTAACAAGGAATTAGGAATAGAAAAGTACAAGACTAGTGCTAATACGAGTTCGGAACCTAAATGCTGTCTTTTTGGACTCAAAATACATAAATAGGTAGAAAAAAACTTAGTGACCAAAATATATAAAACGCAGTTTTAAACCACATTTTACCTTAACGTCCGTCTGGGACGTTAAGGTAA